ACTTAAATGTGTTAGAATGAAAGCGAACAGAAGATACACAAGCAGACGCAGAATGAAGGTTTCGAAGGCTTCAGAAGGTCACGTGGGCCCTTTACGAGTTAGGCCGATCTATATGACACCCGATCTTGTCGCTTTCTTCACTCTACAGTTGCTTTGTGTCGGGATGTGCCCGGCTTAAGTAAGTACCAGCTATATTAGCACCATCATAATTGCCACTGCCAATGCTTTCGGAAGCTTTTTTCCATTACCACATCTTCCGCTTGGCGTCATTGTCAAAAAGGCAGGTTTCACGCATGCGCCCACAGCTCTCTTGCTCAGACCTACAGGGTTTTCAACACACGAATGCTCACTCAGTCGAGAGTAGGCATTTCATCGACAGATGCTTGTAGAGAGAGTAAAAAGTAGGCTAAAGCATAACGTGCTTGTATATATTACCTGAGCTAAGCCTGCGTCTAAACATGCTCGCCTTACGATATACGTCCGTTTGGATAAAAACCTCTTAACTGTATATAGGTAAAATACGATATTATTTTGCAGGCAATGAAACCTTACATGACAAGATCGAAGGACTGCCAGTCAACCCTTTCTTGGGCGTAGCTACCCTCAAGCACCTTAGAAACCTTCAGGTAATTACTTCATGCCTTGCTGATCTCATTCAGTGTTAACCCAGTCATAACAGTTCCTATCACGACGCAGTCAGTACTTTGGCAACTGTGTTATTAGAACAGATCTGCGTTCGGCCGAGGGTGAGGGCGCCGGAGAACGCGCGGCCATAGCTGCTGCCCATTGTAACTCGTGTTTTGCTCAGGTTGTACTAAAACTACTACACGCGCTACTGGCGGACACACTGCCATCTGGTAGTTAGATTTAAGCGGGTCTTCATTTTGAAGGCTGACGCGGCGTTTCTTCAAATGTTCGATTACCATCCTCTGTCCAAGAAAGTTATGCTACTAGCATAAACTGGAATACTATTAGCATTGACTAGGGTGGCAGGATTTGCGACAGAAGGCGAGGACAGGGCCATCTTAGGAGCGTGGCAAGTATGACATAGTCAATAGCGACGGATTACAGGTGGCACGAGATTCGACATTTGATTTCAATGGAGGGCAGACGAAATTAACGGATACGTAAACACGATTGCAAAACGAATGTAGAGGTACAAAATTAGCAATAGTAAATGACGATATATTGCATCTAACATGTAGCAAAAAAAGAAGTTGACGACGAGGCGTCAACCTGTTAATTCCTAGCAATGTTAGATTATCGTAACTAACGATACCGAATCAGCTGTATTAGAAAGAGAAATCTCAACACCTACAGAGTCCATTCACTTTAAAGGATTACGCCCTAAATCGAAAAAAAACCTGGGCCGAAACCGTAGCTATAGCCTTTGTTTCAACGTAACAGCGTAAAAAAGGAATAAAAGAAAGCCGTAACGATTACGGTGGACTAATGAAGTAGAAGACAACTACGGAGGCTCGGAGTGAGTTACTAGACTGTGATATACTATGACGGCGATTAGATCGAAAAGATGGCTTGGAAGCGGTAAAAGCACCAGCAGTTTATAGGCACGTCCGAACCCCGTGCCACAAAAATATGAAATACATATGCCATTAAGTGGCCACTCAAAAAGCTCCATATGTTTATACATTAACGTAGGCACTATTTGTCGTCAGCGGTGAAAGGTCCGTGTAAAAGTTGTTCACGTCATTGTCTGCTGCAAACACAGCAAGTGAGATATTGAAAAATAACAAAGATTCGTGTTAGTTGAGCTTTACACCCAGCTTTAAAAACATTTCTTTCTCTATTCACACACGTATTACTCAGGTTCTTCGCTCGGTTCATGCAATATCCAGACTCCTAATTTTTGTGTAAATCCCGTAGAACAATGTTTGCAGAAGTATCATGGGCAGAGTTCATACTGTTCGTTAGTTCACGAGCTGTTTACCGGTCGTCTACCGTTAAGATTGCCTTCGAGCGGTTTTTACTGGCCAACCGGTGCGAAATGCATCCTCAAGTTCTGAAGTGGTATTACTAGGTTTAGCAAAACACCCTTTGATCTTCTGAGATGAAAACCGTTCGTGATTTAAATAGTTCTTTGATTTCAGCAATTCAGTTGTTTTTTTTTTTTTAATTTAAACATCCATCCGTGCTGTCCAAGCTCGATATTTAATGCTGTTTAGCATACATGAAACTGCAATATGTTTACAAAAAATAAATCAAACGATTTCGAACAGCCTAAGAAAGCACACGAATAGAGAAGAGGCAAACGGGCAGGAGAACACCACAGATGTTTCAAAGACTTAATTGTGAATTCAGTACAAAAGGACTTGATTATGACAGAAATGATAGGGATGACGAGATATACCAATAGTGTCGGAGAGACATACGTTTAGAGTTTGCGTGTCTGCGAAGTTGAGCGCGCACCTCACTACTTCCGTGTTGGTATCCAAGAGACTTCAGAGACAGAAGCTGTGAGGCACTCCAGGCTAATTATCGACGAAGGATAACAAATCCTAAAGATTTTCAAAATTTCTCTCAGTGAAAAAATGGCACTTACGATTGTTTTGCTTAGAAAGAGGCACAGATTTTACTGCTGGGGGTTTAGCATGAATGAATAATAACAACGCTTGATAAATGTAACAGAGACAAAAATTACAAGAATCGCCATCTTTACTGTTGCGAGCTCTTTACTTTAAAAATAGATGCTTCAAAGCTGGTCGACAAGACTAAGAGCTTATTCGCGTAATTCAAATACTGTATGACAGTTTGAAAATGTCATCCCAACTAAATGACTGGCCTTTCGCCTGCTTTGCCCTTCCGAACGCAGCTCGAACATCTTTTTGAGAACCCTTCGAGTAGATAAAGGAACTGATTAAAATGTCTTCAAATCTTCTATGCGAAGTTAAGTCAATGTCTTTGCTAACCAGCCATCGTGTAAAAAAATCTATACTTAGCTCGCATGCCGTTTTCAAATGAGCAGACCTGCGGGAACGTAACGATATTACTGTGAGACATATTAATAATGAATGTTGCATTCAATGTTCAGCTCAAACACGGCTTGATCCACGCACGCTTCAGCAATAGAGTCAATATATCAACTGATACTTGATTCAAGGACATCCGCTACTGATCCAGCAACACTGACACCGGTAGGGAAATCTGTTAAAATAAGGTGGCCATTGGCTGAATGGCTGAACCGGAAGTAAGGATCAATTTATAAGTACGAACTGAAAACGACCAGCATTCGTTTGGCCATTTTCATCTACGAATTTACTGAGCACTCCATAACAAAGCTATAACGAAATTAAACATATAATATTGTTTTGGTTGCATAGGTTGACGCCTGTCAGTCCAGTATCCCGCTCATATTCAAGTCTTTTCATTATTATGACCTTTTAATTACACTCTAATAATATATTGATGACCTTTTTGTTCTAAGGAACGGAATATTCAACGCAAATAGGATAGATTTGCGAAATATATTCTTGCAAAACTGTCTCAGTGCACGATTGCTGCGACACAATCGAACCTGTATAATCCTTGCTAGTTTTAGCTTTGATTTTCAGCCCAATGTCGAGAGCAAACTGCCCACCGATAGTTTTCATCGAATCAGTACACTTGGTGAGCTTCGCCAATTGTGACAAAAAAAAAACATTTAATAAGTGATTCTCTACTTCAATCTATCGAACTTCCGGGTGTTGTTGTTTTAAATCACTAACACTTCTTTAGGCCTGTGTAATGAATGCACTGATTTAATATGCATCGATGCGTAAATGAGCAATGAAAATTTATGAATATTTCTAAAAATGTCCCTAAAACTGAATTTATATACAATTTTATATACAAAAAATTGAATGTCAGAAACTGAACGTCGACTACTGAACGTCATGGATTTACTTGACGCTTAGGGTGACTGCATCTGTTTTAATTCTAAGGGCCGGTTCTTTCGAGCATTCAGTTAGATACTTAAATTGACAAAATAATTAATAGTAGGCTAATTAACGTATAAAGCTTACATACGAGGATAAGATATACAAAGATACTCCTTTATTGGTCATGTCTAAAAGCTAGACCTCCGGGTCCACCTACGCTTAAAGACCTTACATTTGCCGCTTTAATGATAGCTCATGACGTGGGGACCTGTAGGTTGCACATCAAGACGGAGCTTCAGGATGAACTCCTGTATGTTTATTGATCTTAAAAAAATATGTACATTTAGTCTTAAAAACTATATCTTGACGGTTAGCCTTCTGGACGTTTCAATGTTTTCTCTAAAGATCTATTTACTAAGTCAAAATTGTAGTAGAGTCCTACCCATCTTTGTAGAAGTTTGGGCCAACCACTTGTCGCGATCGAACCACTGCACCAAATGCTCCCTTCACCTTTTCTATTTAGGGAACGCAATGGCGTTTTTATCCAAGGTAAGCTTTTTTCAGTTCCGTACTAAAGCTGTAAATTATGTATGTCCTAGGCCACCTTAAAGGTCGACCACATGGTCCAACATGATTATATATTAATTTGCGGCAAACGGGTTTATTTTTCTATAGTATATTAGGTATATTCTCTAAGAAGGCGATTCTTTCTAGTGGCCACGAACGTCACCAAACTTGATGACAGGATTGCCATCACAATCTAATATAGATCACGCAACCATTTGCAAACCACTGTGTATCGCCTGCTATAGCAGCGAAGCATGAATGGGGGAGGATCGATACCCATTCCTCACCCACACGTTCCTCGGACGCCTGTACACACCGCCGGAGCTTCAACCTTTCACCAAACGTCAAGTAAAAGAGAGAGGCGTACGATTACTCTACGGACAGAGACGAACCAGCAGTCGACATCGTTCTGCCGAGTTCATGCCCAATCCGTCCTTTTCTAAGATAACCTAGATGGAGAGTGGTTTATGTTAACGGCCAACATGCACATACGATTCTTTGAAGTCAACTAAACACTCTACAGCAATGTGACATTTTGAGTTAGCATGTAGAACTCACCTTTTAAGAGCTTATCCCGCTCAGTAACACTTGGCTCATCGGATGACGGAGCCATGACGTTCGCTGTAAAGGCGCTTTTTACTCTTCTTTCTTAACTTTCTTTTTTTGACGCTCGGGGTTGGTGTACCCTGATTGAATCGTAGTTCCTTTGTCGCAGCGCATACACTGTACTTTTACCAGATTTATCTGCACAAATATAACGTCGCAGGCTGGCCTCCCCCGGCGCCGGTCTAAAAGATCTGTGCACTGAATTGAAAAAGAGTTATATATAGAGTGATAAAGGTCGAACTTGGTCGAACGATGGTATGAAGTGTCACTCTTATTTAGGTACAACCTTTGGAATTATCAATACTAAAACAGCGAACTGTTGTCAACAAGCAAGAGAGAGACATAAATCTATCCTCTTGCTCTTAGGGTATTGATACCAAAAATGGCCCAACAAAGATCAGGGCCTACGCACGTTGAGACATCGAAGGGGCACTACTAGAGTTTGTCCAATAAGCTCTGCCGATCGTTCGGTAAGTCCCCTGGTATCACGGAAGCCTCAGATGTAAGGTGGGAAGCTCCTGTGTCTTTCTGATGGGGTATACAAGATGGTAGAAGGTCTTGGGAAGACTGTCTCTCTTTTTTTGGTGGAAAAACTTTATTTTCTGAAAAAGACACCTGCAGATGGATGGTGGAAGCTTGTCTCATACTACGAGAAGGGTGCCGCCATTTTGGCTAAGCTTAGAGAAGCCGAGTGCCAGAAACAACGCTACGCACCGACTCCGAGCCAAAGAACCGAGAGAGGCATAGCAAGGGCAGATGAGGCCCTGGCGATGACGTCATTAGGATACACGTAAGTGAGGGTTCAGTTAGTTCTCCGAGCAAAAATCCCTGGGGAACCTCATTGAGGAAGGGTAGTTTGGCCACCACACAAAACGTTTCCCTTTCCCACGACCTTAACTTTCCCCCAAACGCTCTTATAAACGCAAATTGCACACACGTCTTTATGGAGCGTTGCTCACTCGACACATTTGTCAAGTTTACAGTCAAGTAATTAAACTTCCTGTTCAAGACAAGATGCTGCGCGGCGATCTTTGATACGATGCGAAACAACATAACGGTTTCTATGAATGGATGGATTCTGTAAGTATTTGTATGCAATATAAAAAAGGAAGAAATTGAAAGGATAGAAGTGGTTTAAGAGCCACGCTAAATTGACGTTGAAGTTTGTCCTCCATCAGGTAAAAGACAGAGCTCGTGATCATTTCATTGTACCATACTAAACTGCTAGCTAGCTTGTTATACGAAGGTATTCTCGCTAAGCTACGAGCTAACAACAAATGAAGGAAGCCTATGGTAGAAAAGAAATCAATCAACCACAAGAGCAAGGGGCTCCGATAACGTATGAAATGGCCGAAAAAAAAAATTGAAACATTCACTACAACTTTGTCACTCTGGACACTTTTTCTCTCGTAATAAATAAGATGCACAAACGATCCGTGCACAAATGTCACGTCATTAAATGTTATATTGGTAGGTTGCCTTAGAACAGCGCCAAACTTTCGCTTGATAAAATGTATACTAATTAAGTCGGGAGATATGCTTAGTCTGTTTAGCAAGATTATGCTGCTTCATTATAAATCCATCTGAAGGCATTTATGGTTTCATGGACAAATAAATAGTGTAACCGTTCGAGCTGGCACTCATTATGCTGGAGTTGATAAGTTTCTACTAAGGACACCTTAGGAACCACTGATGTGAGTTAAGTGGATTGTTCTATATTATACCTGTGAATATCCTTTGAGCTAAACATGGCCCGAGTTGTGTTGACTAAAAGGTTATCGACCTATCACTTAATAATAAATGATAGTAATATATTAATAATAAGTGATAAAATAATAATAACATTAATCCAAAATGTCTGTATGGTTATTGCATTATTATACTCATTATAAGTTTCGGTAAAATATGAATATCTCAGTTTCTGCATCTATATTGAGCATTATTAAAAAGGTTTTGTCAAGTTTCTTGAAATTTATAATGTCTGTAAGATGGGTTCTTGCGATGCGAATTTGTGTATTTGACACAAGCATTTTTTGTAAATTATGCAAAATGTGTCGGATCATCATCATCATCATTCATACATGTGTACATACATAAAAAACAGCAACAATATTTAATTACGGTCCCTACTTAGAAGTGAGAAATTCTAGTCAGCCTAAACTTTTTTGGCGTCTAACCTGTTGCTCGTCGTTACTAGTAAAATTGTAGACTAAGGCATAATACTAATTGCTATCAGTTCAATCTAAATATGTCAATTTTACGCTGAATTTATTGCTAGTATCGGACTCTGAGCGATAATTTGCATTTGCTAACAACATAAACACAATAGTTTAATTACTTCTTTATTTTGAGCTAGTCTCTAAAGTATGAAATATCAAGTAAGTAATTTGAATATAACCCGCGCCAAAGGGCGGACCAAAAAATTGCTCCATGGCGACTAAAGAAAACAAACATCGACAGATTTAGCAACATGGCAAAGTAGCGGCTTAAGCCATTCAGACTAGCGCCAGCTGATCTGAGGCGGTTCTCTGGGATGAACAGAGCTCGCTGAAAATATTTGTGTTTCATTTTTTTTGACTAAGTCTAATACATTTATTTATATTAGTATGATTGTTTCCAATGACAAGTAGAAGTCTGTGTGTTACACGTCGGCAATCTGTCTGCAAAGACGTAGTAGTCAAAAACCGTTGCTTGACTTTTGACAATGCGGCGGAAAACTAGAAAAATAAGTACGCTTTTTGTATCAGTTACACACGGCATTCAAATGCCGTGAAAAAAAAATGTAAAAAATATACCTTGAAGATTAACTTATAGGAAATGATTTCACTAATTGTGAATCTGCAAGTGCACCTAAATTTTTTTTAGCTTGCATTTAGTAGAATCGCGCAGCATCGTTCTACACGGATTTCAAAAGTCGTAACACAGCCACACATGATGCCGTATCCAAATATTGAAATATATAAGAAGCTCAATACCCGCCACTCGTAATCTAACTTACTCTCTCTTAAGTGTTTTGCTATAAAGTCAATCGGCAAATACTCTGCCGGACAGCCGGTTAGCTCTATACGCCTTCCCGTTATAACTACACACAAAAATTAAATTGTTATTATGGTATGTATTGTATAATAAATTAGGTGTAGGTACCTCTAAGCTGCCCAGACAGACAAAAGCAATTGAGGTTGTGCCGAATATTACGATATATTATCATAATTCTAAGTGTTCTAAAAAACTATCGCTGAAGAAGTTTATATAGATTACATCACAATAACGCGTTCATGTTACATGTCCTCCCTTTCAGGCTGGTCCAATTTTGATTAGCGTCATAATACCTGTCCACAATAGTGCTAAGTACCTCAAGGAGTGTCTGGACTCCATCTTAACACAGACGTTTCCGCTTTCTCAGGTCAGTTCATACGGTTTTGGATAATTATATATGTATATATATAAAAAAAAAACTTATTTTTAACACATTTTTTTTTGTTTGATGATGTTTGACAGTGATGATAAAGCAATTTGATTAAAAAGTGAACGCATTATATCATGTAAGGAGTGGTATGTTCATGCTTATATACGGAAACGTCTAAGGGGAAAGTGTACGTAACTATTGTTACAACGAACTGTAAAAGCAGTACTAAGTAAAAAAAACAAGTTTACTTTACCTCATCAGTGGATTTTCGACTTATTATTACTACTTACTATCTGTATAGGTTGAAGTATCAGTCTGGGATGATTGCAGTACCGATAATTCTCTACAAATGGTCGAAGAGTTCCGAACCTCTCTAGAGAATCGCGGTGGGAGGCTTGTCATAGGTGGCAGCAATGGAGATCAGCAACCCAAGGGATGCGGGTAGGTTGGCAATCTCGCAACGCTTGAGAGGTTGTCTGTTCTGTCAAGTACTGTTATCTAAATTTAACCCGCTCATTTAGCTTCGAATCAAGTGTCCAGAACTCAGTGGCAATGCTTATCAAGTTATTCGCGTCGGCGATTTGACGCTTAATACGTTTTGCTTTTTGTTGCGTTAGACGCCTTATCATATTGAGATATCGAAGTACCGCTTGCTTTTCACATTTGTTTGGGAAACATCATCGACTACGCCGATTATTAGCTCTACTAGTAACATCTTCGTTTGCACATTATACTGTTGAAGAAGTGACATATTACGCGGTACGTTCTCTTTTTTTTTTCTTTAGATTTGCCAAGAACAAAGCTATCGAACAAAGTTCAGGCGAATTCTTGTGTTTTCTGGACTCCGACGACGTAATCGCTCCTCGACGACTTGAAGCACAACTGGCGGAGGCACGTAAAAAAAAGGAAAATGGCTGTGATGCAGCAACGCACGGTCCCCAACATGTGCTAGTTGGTAGTCGCTTTCATCGAATTCCGGAAGCTTCAACTGCGCGCTACACCCAATGGGCCAATACACTACCTCAGCATCTTCTTGATGTACAGGTGATGTCAAAGAAAATGCAAGAAATGCCTTATTTAGACGCTAAAAGTACGTTGCAATGGATTTTATTAATATCTTTTATGAACTGATCGTAAACATAAGATTCTTACTATCGCTGATTGGTGTGACGAATCGGTTAGCGCTAAGTTTGTGCGTATGATATAAAAACCCATATTCATTACGTATCACGTGTCACATAATATGCGTTATTATTATTATTAGCTAAGAAATTTGTACAAAGTGTGATTGACTTGAGATACTCTTGATATATGAATTAGTGCAGAGTTCCTAGCTATTTGGAGCAAGTGTTTGACGTCCGTGAGTATTTGAGCGCCGGCACAGAGGGTGCGTGCCCTTCTAGGTAAAAACAAATTGAAGTACTACATCGAAGGCGTTCGATTTTCAGTCGAAAAAAATACACGGTAAAAAATAGTAGCTAGACGGTGGTAGCAATTACTGTCATTGTGCCTGTAATTAAATCGTTTTGATAGGTGTTCACGTCGCACGGACCAACTATAATTATGCCAACGTGGTTCTGTGCGCGGGAAACGTACAGCCGTATACCGGGCGGTTTCTCAGAACAAGGAAAAGGTACTCCAGAAGATCTAATATTTTTCTACAAACATCTTGATCTCGGAGGATCAATACGCCGTGTCGATGAAGACTTACTCATGTATCGTTATCACCCGGTTAGTTTATAAGAATTTCTTCACTATACCCAGCTTGATACTGAAACCTACTGAACTGCTAATAAACGATTTGGCCGTTCATAGAAATGTACTTATGGCAATCCACTTTTTTTCGAATTAACGTAAACATTAGCCCCTCCATATGCTTCGCATAGTAAAACATGAACTAATAATATAGTTATAAAGTCAGTTAGTTCTTCAAAATTGTTAAACATGGCATTTTGATTTTTAGCTCATTTGTGCCTCGGAGAACGCGAGTGGATAAATGGTTTCCGCTAGACTTCATAATTTCTGATGCAATGACACTTTCAGAATGCCACGACCTTTTCGATTAGCGAAGAGACCATCTGGGAGCTTCGATTACGTCGCCTCGAAGAACGACTGCTCATTTGTCCCGGTGGTTGGCAAGGCTTCACTATATGGAACGCTGGAAAACAGGGAAAAAGATTCTACAGAGGCTTATGTCAGAAGGCACGAAGCAAGGTGCGAAAAACATTTCTAGCTATTTAAGGGCAATAGAAGACTCAAAAAATATCTGAACAGTACGAAATGGAGAATGAGATTTAGACTGCAGCCGTATAGCGCAGAGTCTAAATGCCGTCGATGATATCCTAAAAGGTGTAATAGAGGCTTAGGAAGTCTAACATGTACGCCCAACGCAGTTATCCCAGCGAATCATACGGTTTTGAAGTCAGCGAGTAAATGTATTTAGAATATCAGGGAGAACATATATGAGGTCGTTGCGTAAGTAATATCCGCTTTTGTTAACTGCCACCTTTTAGTTTTAATTCTTTCGATCGCCAAAAACCACGTGTTATGTGCTATTAAAAGGCTCTTCTCTTGCTCCTCAAGTCCGCTGCTGTAGTTTCGTCCAATCCAGCCCTAGTTTAAGTTTTGAAATGTACGCACCCTTTTTTTGATAGAATATGACGATTTCGCTATTTCATTGATTGCCAACCATCATCAGTATAATTGTCCCTTTCTGTTAGTTATCCTATGATTGATTTTACCTTAGCTTTTTTAGTTTTTTAATTGGTTTCGATAAGTTATCTTCTATTTTTTACTGCTTACTACCTTATACAAAGTTTTCAACTTATGAAATATCGAAGTTGCTACAACTGGAACAGAATTCATACGCTAAAAAGTTTAAATTCAAGGTGAAGTTTTTTTTATCTGTGTCGAAAAGTAATAACAGCTCTTTAATGGTATATAATTAATCATCTGCAAGTGAAAAACGAACAAATAAGAAGTAATAAGTACAAGTTGAGATTACTTTAGTAACAATCTAATTTTATTCCCATACACACGAATTAATGAACAAATCCGTCTTCGGTATCTGTGCTACCTGCTGTAATGATTCATAATTGTCACAGGTGCGTGGTTTCTGTGACGTTGATCCCAAAAAAATTGCTAGAGGTGAATATGTCTTTGAGGAATCCCCCCTACGACCGAAACCTCGTCTGCCAATTGTCCATTTTACTCAGGTGCGTAAGTAACGCATGCACTATACCTATAACGATCTTTGCAAATATTTTTAAGCAGACCAAATTTTGCACTGATACAGTATTAAATTGCAGGCAATTTAGTAATGTCTGTAGAACACAGCGTAAAAATAGTAGATTTCAATTGTCCTTAATGCAAGTCTTAAACAAAAGTGCGCGAAGGGAAAAAAATTCGTTGATTATTTTTCAGGTGCGTCCGCCACTTGTAATATGCGTAAAGATCAACCTAATGCCCGGTGGGTTCGAGGAAAATCTGGCCTCACTCGGCCTCACAGAAGGACGTGACTACGTACATTTTGCTTAGTGATAGTTTGACCTAGTTCTGTGTGACTGACGTCTGAAGACCTTATAGCATCTTCATAGCTTGTTGGGCGTAAGTTATTGGCAACTCAGATAATCTTATGACGGTGTCATATATAAAAATGCTATAAGTTCACTATGATTTTACGTTAAGTGTTTTTCTTAGAGTTGAGTAAGCAGTATTCGTTTTCACACGCCCGTAAGTTGCCCAAAATTTAGTGGTTCTGCTGTGCCTTCGGCAATCCCGCAACTAGCATACTTTATTTACAGATCTGTAAATAAATCTGTAAAGACACCGTACCCTGGACCCACACTTTCTCTGTACACAAAATTGGACGAAATTAGCTCTCCATTGGTGAACTTGTTTGGCAGAAGTTATTTTTTGTTTAAGGGTTGCCTCAACCTTTGCCTTAGGATAGTTATGTAAAGTTAGCACTCCATATGCATAAGTACGGGTGCTGCTATGCTCATCCACGCTGCTTTGATCATCATGTCAATTTAATTGCTTAACCCACATAACACTGCAGCCTACAATCCTCGTTAGCGACATAGTCCTCTGTCGTATTCATAGTCTGTAAAATAGTCTTTTCTATTTGATATCACTCTTGTATACGAGCATTTGTCCATTTCATATTACTTAGTCGGTATTTCCTCGAGAAAGTATGTTATTTTTATGCTGGGTAGTTTAATGCTAGTATTCACGGGTTTTTAACATTGGATATTCGTCGCACCTGGTGTTAGCCCCAATATATGCCTTTTTTTCTTATTGAGTCAAGTAGGTCACGCACTTTAAACGTATAATAGCAACCTCAGCAAATCAATCTCAGGCGAAACTTCATCATGACGATATTATTAAGCTCGTGTTAGACACGTAAACTGATTATAGATATCATTCAGTGAAACCGTTGAAAATTCAATCCAATAATAAATGAATAATTCTACAGCCTCCATCTGCCCGTTAGATAAAAACAGACCGGCAGCAGTTAATTATGCAATAAGAAAAACTTCCACGTAGCGATGAATTCACTGTCAAAGATGAATCTCCGTTGTTTAGAAAGTGCCAATTGCGTTAAGGGAGACTTTCTCAGAGTATTTCATTTACTGTTCTCTGCTCCGTCTCAGAAATTAAACTAATGACAAATTAAATAAATTATTGAAATTTAGTGAACAAGTCCCCTCACCGCATAAAATATGTGAATGCAGTTATACTTCTTATTACTCATAGTTTCGAAATGATCGATTCGCACATTAGTGCTTAAAGGTGCAAACATTGAAAGGCGCACTCATCGTTTTTCCATTATTATTGAATTGCGATTGTTTTATTCTTTTTATGCAGAAATAACAATTTTTTATTTAGTGCTCATTACAATACATCAAAAACAGTATAGTAGTAATATTAAGCTACCAAACATCAAAATAACACATTTTCCCAAAAAACAAGAACAGGCTCAGCCTGTGATGCGCGTGGTACATAAGTGTATCACTCAACCCTTTTAAAAAGTTAGGTTTAAAACACTCATTGTAGAATAGATCTTTTAGAGATACGGTTCCCAATATGTAGAGATACACCTTAATGGACTATAAAGAAAATGATTTAACGTGACTAGGATTTTAATGTATATTTCACTTTCACTTTACAAATTGTTACTTGGTTGCCAATACGTATCATAATAAGGTCTTCTATGACTTTTAAAAATGGATGAGAAACTTCATCAGTCAAGGTTTTTTATGACCGTATTCCACACACACTGTTTCCTTCTATTCGAGCAACTGCTTTCTAAATGACTGGAAAAGGATCTCGCTCCATGCGAATTAATTCGATCTTGTTCGTTAATTTAGATAGAAAAATTAGGTAAGATGCACTAAGTTGTGCCTTTGTACTTTTCAGTATTTTTCTTTAAAGAAAAATAGGAGCTTCAATTATAAATAACAAACATTTCACCTGACTAAATAGAGAGCCTATATTTTTTCAATTCAAGATATACGAGCGCGGCATCTGGTTGAAATAGCATCCCACGTGATCTGAGAGTCGTATTGACGCGCCCTCCGATATAGCCTAGCAAGCCTTCTTCTTAATTCACTGGGCGACCCAAGCTGTGAAGCCGTCCTGCATGTTTGCATCCATGTACATCCTTGCTTCCTTAAGGTGTTGCACCCACATCTTCCATAGGAGACAGATTTACTCATTGATTTTATTTCAGTTTGAAGAAAATAGATTGGGCCTATGATGGAGCAGATCGTTACGCATGTAGGTCTCAACGAGTTGCGATTTTATCAGATCGTATGCGTTTTGTTTCATGTATCATATCTGAGTGTAGTTGCGCACCGAACAGCGTATATTAATTTTGAAACGTTAACTAACATTAACTACTGAAGTTTCTACATGTTCGAAACGTGTTAGGAACACGTTTAGTGTTCATATTTACTTCCCGCCGGAGGACTTCAACAATAGAGTGGAAAGGGAGGGCCGCTGCCCCAGCTGTATCCAGCTCCTACTTACGCCAAATGCCAGCTGATCGAATACAGAAAATTGCATTAGGCTAATAGGCCTACGGAAAATTAACGAAAAGACCTTCCATTTTGTTTTGTTATATTTTGCAGAAGCGAGCTTTGATTTGAATATCCATTGTGACGGTTTTACTTTGTCCCAACGTTTTAAATGCGGTTGTTTATCGTTAGTAGTTTTTACGTCGAGAAAGTAATAGCGAAATGGCTACTGTAAATATGGCTGATCCCATTTATCATAGTACACTATTGTTTCCGCACCAAATGTGGTAGGTTAAATACTGACAGTTATGTAATAAGATTATAATATAAAGCTGCTTATTTAAATAACTAATCAAAGTCAGTTCCCCAAATTAGTTTTTCATGTAATACTTTCGTTATACGTTTTCATTCGAATAAATCATTAATATACTTTGCTTGCATTGTGCTCTATTGGCCAGCACAATTGAAACTTCGTCGTCGCTCAGCTAGTGCATTGTAATGTTACTTAGTTATCTATTTTCAATTGGTCGTCATGGGATTATAATACATACGCATAATTTTATGAAGAATTAAAGTGCATAGCTGTTGGGGATAGTTCATCCGGTGAAGCAATCTCATTTTTTTCTTCCTCGTTATAACGGATGCATTTTTCTATTACATAATGGAAAACAAGATCTTATTAATTAGTGGCTAAAATTATTCGTGATTGAGACGTTATGTTTGTTATGTTCATATAGAGAATGAATTACTTGGCAATTATATATTTATGTGTGTGTGTGTGTGTGTTTTAGATGAAGAGCCTGGGGTGCGATCACCTTTGATCAATAGGTGTAATTGCAATTACTATAACCAAGAGCATATTTGTATCGAATGCTGACTCGAATAAGCCGGATTAATAACACTTGCTTCGTAAAGAAACGCCGCCTCAAGCTTCTCTGCACGAAACAATTTACTATCGTGCAAGAGGCACGATGAACATGGAACAAAAATGCCCCGCTACGTTGTAAACCCTTACAAAATCGGGGTGAATCATTGCCAATGTCTAGTTTGTATCTTTGGCATCCCAGCAACTCGATTACCTCCAGCAAATATTAAAGTGACAACATTTAGAAGAAACAGTGTAGACTTAAAGCAAAAAATTCCTACCAAACTGGTCTCCGTAAGGCGCGCCGACTCATACTACTCATGATTTGGCAGAAAGGGCTTAAGATTATTAAACCCAAAACTCACATCTATGACTTATATCTAGCTATTGTCATGATCATGGAGCCCCCATAAACAACGCTTGCCCCTCTCGCCTCGAATCCGTTTCTCGGAAATTATTATTACAAGCTAAACTGAGCCCACCATTGAAACTTCTTTAACGATTGTGAATGCATTACACCAGGTTTACTTTGTTGTTTCGATCTTAAACATTACTCAGTTCAGCAGAAATTTATTTGTTCTAGCGAGATCTGTCTGTTTGTGACGCTTGGAATGACGAGATTGAGCATTCGAAAACATCGGGCCGTTTCTAAAACTAACCTATTTTCGTACCTTTGCCACGCCTCGTTGTGGGCCCCTTGTCTACGCAGTGGGTCGTTGTTTATCGTGGATTCCTTTAGTCACGATAAACAACGGTCTCCCGATATTGTCGTCTAAAGATTTTCAGAATAACAAGACGTCGTCTTTTTCCCCAGTTACGCTAAGGTGTGCTGGGCTTACTGAAGATATTACCGAATATGAATCGAATTTTTCTTTTATGCTTGATGTTTTTGGACGTCTTGGTTTTAATTATCATCGTGTTTTAATGTCACTTTATGGATCACGATGTAAACGATAATGACATTTGTAAACTTTTATCTGTGTCATTACAGCAATCAATTGTGATTTGTTTATGGTGAAATGACTGGCCGAAACGTCGTAATGGGATCTACCGAGTCATCGTGTACATGCACTGGATGGTGGTTCTTAGGGGGGTACGTTCTCACTTCGTTTGTGCTCCTTAAGAACCCTACGCTTTTACATAAAAAAAAGAAGACCAAGTTTACATGTGTTCACATCAGCCATCGAGGAGGTAGGCATGCTCTATATGTGCCTGTGTGTGTGCGAGTTTGTATATCAATGGCTATACATATTGAAACCCTGTTTAGCATTGTGCTACCAAATAGATTTCATGTTTAAAATGAATGATTACTGAATAAAGCTAGATAAAGGGATATCAGAAGATTTAAGAAGAGACCCCCAATAGCGTCACTTTTAACGTTGCGTTAATCCGCTGACGTGTTTTTAAACTGATCGCTAACCACATTATTTATAAATTGTATTTTGAAGAATAGTATGCACTGGTAAGAGTTACAACCGAATATTTTGTTTCGTTATTAGGAAATAACTTAATTTGAGTTTTTAGCTGCATGTTTAGCATATTCTGGACATACATACGTATTTTAAAAAAATAACATTTTTGGGGGTACTTCTTTATTGCGAACTGTATCACTCCTTTATGATAAACGTAGGCTTTTATTTAGCTAGTTGTATACACTACAGGTGCGTTTGAGCGGCTGGAGAACACGTTGGAGGCCTTTGACTACGCTGTAAATAAGTGTGGCACAGACATGCTCGAGCTTGACGTTCATTTAACTTTAGACAAACAGGTTTGTGACAGCTGCAGCTATTTAGTATTAATTTTTCTTGTTTACTTAGTTAGCATTCTAATTTTCTCCGTTTTTTTTTCCATTCTAATAATTTAATTGATTTGTATAATTGGCGCTCGTATTTGTGAAACTACTCCTATATTTTGGAGTAGTTAGTTATTGCAATGTGACATAGCTGTTGTAAAGGTCGTGGACCTTCATAGGGTGTTATGTTTAATTCGTCACCATTTTCTAGACATCTGAAAGAAACGTAAAGTCACATGCTGTATAAATATATAGACTAGTAATGTCTATTAAGCAATTTAACATTATGGTAAACAGCAAACACCGTAAATATGAAAATCCTCAGTCAAATTAGCCGAACTACAATTTTAACGTTTATAATTAGCAGATATGGTCTTTTCTCTTGCTAGGTTGTCGTCTGCCACGATCTTTCGCTTCTGCGAACGACCGGAGTGGATAAGAAGATCTACCAGCTCTGCTACAAGGTACACGCTGTGCAACTCGCGCAAGACAGGACTATCGAACTATTTTTCGGTGTTTTCGTATCAGCTACAAGAGGCTTTCTAATTGAAAGGCTAAAATTACTACGGCGACCATCAAATACTGTTTTAACAGATACTCAGTTGTCCCGATAAGATAAAAGCAAAATGTTCTAACACGAAGAAGTATATGTTTTATAAACTCGCAACTGCAACATCGATTTTTCAAAAAAAAGTTTGCTCTATTTCGTTGCATTGTCTCCTCTGCAGGATCTTCCGTTACTGCGTTCATCACTTTACGTTGAGTTTATGGACGGTTTACCATGTGCTCAAATGCGTGAAAATGTCGACCGGCGTATTCCTCTGCTTAGAGAAGTGTTCGAAAGGTTTATATAATTGAGAAATTTGGAAGACTAGTATTGATCAGATGAGAAACAATCCTGTTCTTCATTTTATGCGACGGGGTTTGTAATACAAAAAAAAAAGTATTCAATGTGCACTATTTGCAGTACAATTTGTTGAAATATACATGGCCATAACGAGACAAGCATTTGCTTTAACTTGTTTCATATGCAGAGTAGAGGGGGGATTCTTTCTTCTATGCGATTCTGTGGAGTTATCGCTGATCAGACTGTTTGTATTGCGATTATGTGCGCGACTGTTGATTAGGTTTCCTAATGTTGCCATCAGCATCGATATTAAGGACAATGACGATGAACTAATCGATCGGGTTCACGAACTGATCGTGAAGTTTGACCGGCAAGAGATGACTATATGGGGAAATATTTCGTATGTTGTTACACAAAAGTGCTATAACCGGGTAAGAAGTTAATTTTCAGTTCTAAACACTCTTCCTATTCTCGGGAATTATGTGTCTACCCATTACTATTAGGTGTCAGGCCGTGATTTTTCGACTGTATTTCATATAATTTACTTTTTGGATCTTAGTGAGGCTCGAAGTTGAGTCTACATGAGCCAAAAATGAAATTGAAATGTAATTTGACTTGCATCCTTGGCAATGCCCTCTTGCACTATGGAAAAAGGACAGTAAATAAAAGGAGAAAGAAATCAACTAGAGTTGTCTGTGAAGATGGAACCTAGAAAATAGCTGCAGCCAGAGGTTTTTAACTATATGTTTAGATTCTGCGCAAAACTTCGAAAGGATTGAAGTGCCTTCGATATACATAAATAGACGAATGCTTATTAGCTCGTACTTCATGTTTCAGGACCCGTCGATTCCAATCTTCTTCTCAGCTCCACGTGTGGCTTGGCTTGCGTTTCTCGCATGGACCGGTCTACTCCCATTTGTGCCTATTCGAGAAACGTGTTTGGCCATCCTGCATCCCACTTCAATGGAGCGAAACTCTGAATTCAAGTGAGTGTAGTAGATGTTCTACTGCTGGCAATATTTGTCCTCCCTATTTTACTCCATAAATTAGGCCAAAATAGATACATAGGATGCTCACGAAATGGCAAGCTTACTGTGGAAGTCTTGTTCAACAAAAGACATAAATATCAAAATTATTACGTTTCCTCGACTAAGTTTTTATGGCATTGTTTTTTCTCAACAAAAATAATTACAAAATGCTTTCAGCAGACTGGGTTAACTTTTTATTATTCTGTTATTGATACTTGAATTAATTGATTTTTTCAGAGACTTTATCGCTTCAAATCCCATCTACTGGCTCGTTCTAAAAACGATTGATATCGCTTTGATGAGGCCATTCATTGTCGACCATTTGCGTAAACGAGGCATTCAGGTTAGCACCTGACTATAGTAAACAAATACTCTAAGGCTCAGCCATAATGAGAAGAATATTATGCGCATTAATCACGTAGAAAAGTAAATGAGTTTAGAGCGTTGTCTTAAACTTCATAGTAAATATTTAAAAACTTCAGAAAACTAAAGACTATGTAAAATGTAAGTTATGACTTGTGGTACAGCTGGTAAGCTATCGAATGTTCAATTATTCTTTTTACTTAGTCGAGATTTTAATAAAGTCGTCTGTGTTTTTCTATATTCAGGTTTACTTCTGGGTGTTTAATGATTGCAATACATTCTCGAAAGGCTACGAGTTAGGAGCCACGGGCATCATGACGGACTGTCCATCTCTGCTCAGGGCCTACTTGCAGGAAAATCCACACATTGTGAGTGCCCGGATGCAAGGCGCTGATATCGACTATATCAACTAAGAAATTATATGTTCGAACCATTTTTTCCGTGTACGAATGGCCATGTAGGTCTACTTAAATAAATTTATTTAATGTGCAGTGAGGTGCGGGACAATTAATACCTTTGGAGTGCAACGCCAAACTAGTGTATCCTTGCTTTTATGAGATCTTAAACAGGAAACGAACTGTACGACAGTTTTTAATCGCATGAAATAAAAGAATTTTTGTTGAATGAGATGCAACTTTTGATTATTGAGAAATATCCAAGAGAGTGTTGAACTATTACTTATATACCTATAGAATATCCTCATATATTTCAATGTAATGTATTATTGCGCGGAGAGTTGGCGCAATAACATTGTGCGAAAGATTTCGACAATCTCAAAAATGGGTAAAAGTAACATAGAGGTTTATTTGAAAATGCTAAATCTTCCACAAAAATGTGTGTATCTCTGAAAAGGCGCGGACAACCAAAGTGGTTAAAGTCCTCGTGGTAACACATGTTACAACCATAATGGTGTTCGTACTGATGTAATCTTAGTAAATTTTCATCGAGCCTAGAATATGCGCAGCATGTTTTACTATATTTACAAGTGAAAAATTAAAACATAAGATGAAGTCTGTATTTAGTAATACCGCTATTTATATTAAATGTAAAAGTAAAAAAATAGAAATAATCTGTGCAATGTGTAAAAATAAAGTTAAGTACAAAAAATTTTACGCTTCAATTTTGTGTTCTAATAGTGTTTGAAATATAATTTGGATTTATCGGAAGCGTATGTACATCTGAGAAGTTAGTGAAGGTATTTTTAAAGGCCCACCAAGAGAGTTTATCTGCTTCTGGGCAACTTTGTTGTGATGCTGTCTCGAAAACAAGAAGAAGAAGACCAAGTGGGACTTCCTAAGTACAATTGCTTATTTGAACCAAAATTTTTAAAAATGCCCAACTTTTGCTTGACATAAGACTAAGATACTGCCTTCATACGCACTTCGATTATTCAATCACAACAACTACTCGTAGAATTGTTCCTAATTTCAAATAAACGCCCGAAAACAAACCTGAAACAGTTTTTAATTGATCACATATGTCGATGGTGGGGCTTGAACTCTCAACATTTGACCTCTCCAAGTAATCGCTGAACTATGCTGAATGCTGTTAAATTAACTTGGATTTTTACTGATGTGTTTACTAAATTTAGTGAATGAGATATTACTCACTGAACTTCAGGATGCAATGAAAATAGATAGAATCATAAAAATAGGCAAAAAAAAGTAATGCCGATTAGTAAAACGTTTTATGCCACATAGAAAATCAATACAGGTACATTCACTTCCTGAAATCTTAGCATAGCAATATAAATTGTACTAACCAAAATATCAAGTGTTTAGCAGTTTCGCGATCCCGCGCAGTTTACTTCCACCATTTAGTGTCCGAGAGTTAAGGAGGCCCGATGTAACCAGCGGCAGCAGGCAAAACGCACGCACATCGGCCACATGGAACCGAACTGTTATTGATATTGTGTAGGATTTCGGCGCCTCCTGTGACAAGAAATTGTTAAGCAGGCTAGCAAGTTGTGCTTTATCAACCCGAAGTGTAAGCCGGTCATCATTTTGACTTGCGCTCAATGAGTAAGACTGAACATCTTTGTCGGAACCCTGGTCCAGTGAGACGTATATGTTAATTGTATGGCCATCTGTATTTTAAAATTCCACAACGTGCTACAAAAAGTAGGGGCCTTCGTGCTCTGTGTATTGATGAACTGTACAGTGTAGCTCAAGCACAATCACAACGCATCGGAAGGTAGCGCAGAAGTTCATTACAAGGTGGGTATTTTACACAACGCTTATTGACACTAGGTTTCTTTGAGAAGAACGTTAGCTTTGAATAAGCATTGTTGATTGATAAGAAGCACTTAAAAAGTAGATATTTTACGGTGCTGAAAATAAAAATAAAATGTTACACAGTTGTGTTTCAGCTGAAAACAAATTGTTGTTTCAATATTCATAAGTTGCTCGCTGTATTCAGTATGGTTAAGCCGTGCGTTAAAGAAAACCTTCGATCAGTCGAAAATGTTCCAATGATCTAACGTCAGGTAACTGAAGACAAAGTTTCGGAATAGCGTTTTTGGTGCGTAAATGTGATGATCTGTTTACTCAGATCGAAACACTACAGGTTTTAAGAGCAAAGTTGCGATGCCGAGTCAACATTACAACAAAAGTTGCTACTCAGAAGATCAGTTACCCGACAGCTCGGCGTAGGATTTAAAAATATATTCCCTTAAAATCTATATTATAACTGTATAAGTTAGTATAATGCAATTTCTTAAATTTGGAATAGATAAATAAATTGCAATAAACACTCAAAAGTATACTAGCTAAACACAAAAGAAACGACAACGGTGCTAGACAGCAAGTATGGCTTATGTAACTTGCAGCCCTCGAAAATGTAATTATTTTGTCAGACTGGCGTTATGTTTATAATTAGGAACCCCATAGGAATAAACCCATTTTGATACGGATTTTCTTTCCAATACAGTTCAATTGGACTTACTAAAATGGTAGAACGCACAAAGAGGCGCACTGAGGAACTAAATACGGCGATGGACGACACTGAGTCTGATGTTATGGAGCCAGATATGCCGGCATCCGGCTCTGAACATGAAGATAATATCGACATGATAAATGATCAGACGGAAATTGACTTAGCACGACAGCAACGTTCTCCAGGCGCGAGAAGTAGAAAAGATAGTACCAGTAGTGGAGGCCAAAAAAAGAAGGCTACCAGCGTGATAAAGGCACAAAAACAAAACCCTTCAGAACGAAAGAGCTCTGTTAGAGAATGTGTTGAATGCGATAGCGCTTCTGTGGACAGTCTGAAACTGAATGAGGAGTGTTCCCCGGAACAGATTATGGGTAAGTTCTTTAGTTCATTAAATGTCCTTATACTTTTTCTTTTACGGCTACGTTCCCAAAACGACGCCAATCGCCACATAGAAAATTATGCTCTTTATTAGTTTTTATGGTATTGTTTTGTCAGCACAATCAAGGTATGCTAGTCAAATTTTCCATTTTTGTAGGCGGTTTCGTTAGCTATTATAAAACTGGTTTTAAACTACAACAGAAATAGCCAAGTGTCTCTGCCTCTCTCTCTCTCTCTCTCTCTCTCTCTCTCTATATATATATATATATATATATATATATATATATATATATATATATGTATATATATAGATTGATAGGTGACTCGCTCTCTTCCTACGCTTTTTAAATAATTCCTTTGTCTAAGTAGGTGTTTTTAAAGTACCCCATGTTGATTGGACCTATTTAAAAAACAGTTTTCAATCACTGATTTTCAGCACTTTTACCTGTCAGTTCCGATTCCATTGATTGATAGTATGTTACATTATATGTGAGTTTGTGTTCGGTTTAGATGCTATTGTGGAGCCGTGGACATCAGGGCACCGTTTAGTTGAAGCAGCGGTAACAATTAACAAACGAATATTAAAGACAATATATTGAATGTGGTCCCCCCCTGAGCTCCCAGATACGACAAGAGTCCTAGGTTTTCACTCAAACAAGTTGTTCGCACTTCGCTTGCAGATTTAATCGATGACGCCCTGAAAAATGACCGCCGCTCGTTAGAACGTCTTGTCCAAGAGCCGATCAATCATTTTCCCGTCCTTGAAGAGGCAACCGCGAGTCAACTTCTTGAACTTCTTCTACGAAACCCCCAACTTCCTGTGTATGGCCAAGTGCGATGGCTGAAGCAGCTGTTAGCAATGTCAACAGGATCTGTTGTGCTTAAGAAGGCTGAATATCGCAAACTAATCGAACCAATGCTTGACCGAACATCGTCGATTTCTGAGCACTGTCTCCGGTTGAGAGGGAAACTTGATCTCCTAATGGGTCCATCCGAAGCTGTCTCGTAGTTTTTAGCTTACATCTAGGTTTGAAATAAATATATATTCAGGGCCATAAAATATTGTTGAGAGTGTATTTTTCTGTCCGCCAGATTCATATGGCAAAAAGCAACTTTTGCATTATTACGCATACTAGGCATGCTTACATAAAACAGGAACATGGGTGTATCTACCTCGATGGTTAGCTAACCTTTAATTATTTATACAAACTGCCCGCTATTCGTTGTACGATATGGAAAAAAATGACTGGCCAAACGGTCGTTTAGTCTATTTCGCTTTCTGAACTTACGCACATTGTGCGGCTGTATCACGCAAATATGTATCCAACATTGACTTGCCCGTGGATATATCACTGAGATAGCTGACAAATAGACAGGACATTTTTCGTGGTGCATCACTTGAAATCGGTGACTAAATATTAGTAAGTACGTTAAGCGTGTCAAGAGCGCTCACTGACGAAATCTAAGATCCGAGGACATTTGCTATCAACGTAACACAGTGGTAGAATAACTTATGAAATTGATGATTATTTTTATTCCAAAATCCACTTCTCAAAATCCAAAATCGACTTTTTAGATTAGCCCTTGCTGTGTCTATGAATTAACGTTTGGCCACTTGACGCAGCGCAGTTAAGCATTGTGCGGTTAATAAAAAGTGCTGCTTTTTGACGTTATGTAACACCCTCAATTTTCTACTGGATAGCAGTAATTCCCTCCTCGTTAGGACCAATTAATGAGTATTCTGGTTGCATTAAGTTCAATATTTTCGAGTAATGAATTAAGCTCCATCAGTATACATTATTACTTACAAAGATTTAGTTCTTAAGACAGGAAGGTGTAAGCTAAGTACAAGCGCGGACCATAATGTGCAGCACAGTTGAGAGAGTTTGTCGAAGCAGGCAACTAACATAGTTCAATAAAAATCCCATTTTTCAAGCACAGAACTCCAACTAGCACAAAATAGAGGAAACGCTTCTTGTTACAAAGATGTTCTATCCGCTATGGAAAGAAAAGTTCATTTGAAAAAAAATGTTAATGTTTTTTAAGGGAACCAATAAATTCAATTTGAACCGAAATGATGGATTAAATGAATTTAGGTTAATGTATATGCTCCAAATCTTGGCTATATACTTTAGATCACAAGCAAAGAAGAACATGCATGATGTACGCGAGCTCGAATCTAGAACGAGTGTTGCGTTTGCTCCAATTGATAGGAGATGTGTTTGTTTAATAGAAAATATGTACAAATTCATATGTACAATAAACATTTGAAGTCTATATGACTATGTCATCGGACAGGTGTTTTGTACTTTAGTCGATCTAAGATATTTCCTTAAGACTCAACCCTCTTATTGTATCTATATATTACCTATAACTTTTATTGTTTGGTTGGATTGTTTTATATGTTTAATGGAAACCTTCGGATAAACTAGGAGACTTTCAACGATTTTCTCCGTAATGCATTACTTATAATAAACATTAAAAGAAAAACACTACATACGAAAAAAATACAACATACAAAACCGAACACTAGACTAATAACATAATTGTCCCTTAAACTTTGCTACTACCATTGTTGCAATAAGTCAATTAAATTAAATGTGCAATTTCAACAGTTGAATTAATATAAACATTATTTGTAAGACTTGTAACCCACCCTATGATGCTGGTGTGTACTATGAGCGGTTGAACGAAGTTTTGCCACATAGAGTTAATTTGCTAACATAAAAAGGCGCACAGTACTCATGGTTATCAACACAGGTAACTACTGAAAGGTGCCAAAGGCTTAGTCACTGCTAAAGCGGTCAATTTTTGGTTGTTTTGTATTCGTTTTTCGTTATTTACTGTTTCGGGAAAGTCAATTAATTATTTATCAAATAGAGAAGATGTTCACAAGAATCGCAGGATTCACGAAAATCAACTATGCTTGAAAGGGCCTTTAAAAAGTCGTTTGAAATCGATAAAAGTTTGTAATTAACGATGCTGAATTGGGTCTAGAAAATGTCCCACATATTACATCAATAAAATCTGTAAATATAATAAGCCTTGATACTGACATTTTTAAAGAAGCATAATTTTTTTAGCGGAGAGGATATTCATTGCTTTATTAACTCTTGGAAGCTCACAACTTTCCAGAACATATTTACTGCTAATATAAGAGGAGCTTCTTTTAAATGATGAACGTCTACCGTACTGAAGTAAAGCGTCACCTTAGGGATGAACTGGACCAGTTAAATATTCGAAATGGCATGCCCGCAAGAAGCTATCGCATTCAGGCGGGTGCTTTAATTGCGGATCGAACGTATCTTTATCCGCATATATATCTATATTTATGCTAGTTTCTCAACCGTTCACTATGAGAGTGGAAATTGTGAACTGACGCTTCTCTTGTGTTGAACATTTTTTTTTGAACATTTAAGGTTCCGAAACCTAGAGATATAGATGTTCTATCTAATATATAATAACAAATCTATTTTGAGGTATGGATATATATATGAATGACCTGCAATATTATATCCTGTAAGAAAACCCTAACAGTTTTTAAGGCTATAAGGAAATATAGTCGTATAGTCCGGTAAAAAAAATAAAAATACTTCTAAAGGTTAACGATTTGAGCTGGCTATTCTATGGAACAATGTTCGTGATGCATCCAGAAGAGCGCAGCCCTGATCATGGTTGGGACTACCAAGAACTAATCAAAACCAAAATACTAACAACGCTATTCGCTTACAACCGTCGCTGAATTTAAAGGAGGTACGAATCACATGATTATGAAGATAACTGGAAAGAATAAGGTCTGATAATGTATATATAGTAAACAATTATTTTATTCATTTAGTGAATGCAAAGAGGGCAGGCTTTGAGGTCATTCATTTATTAAGGTCTTGACATTTGATTCCTGTATTTACTAATTCCCATAAACAAATCGATTGGTTCTGCTCCTTTTTTTTATTAAGGTTAACTTAGAGGTTCGTCACAAATGCCTGAGTTTTTATATTTCAAACGCTGTTCAGCTTCAGGTTTTTCTTACGAGTTGTATAGTTGGCACGCATCTTTGAACCTCCGTAGTTGACAGAATAATCTTACTCAAATCAAAGTAGGGTTATTCTGTACTTAACAGAAAACAAAGCCATAAAACCCATACTAATCTTTGGTAAGAGATATACTGTGCAGGGAACTTTGAAAGAAAAAATTACTGATTTTTTGTTTCGGTACTAACAAGAATGAAGTTGTGAATTGTGTATATGTCCCAACCCATTTAACTAACAGGTACTGTAGTGTTTCCGCTGAGTAGGTTCAGAGTTATATGTACATCTGATCGCCCCCGCTCCCCCGGCGTGCTTTGTACTATTGGCAGCTAGCGACAGCCCAGGCCTGCAAAGACATCTAAGGAACACGGAAGGTAGTCAAAAGTAGACGCAACATTTTAGCTTTTTTGTTGACAGCCAACTATTTAGCAGCTTTCTGATTAGCCTATGTAAAGTGCAGAAGACGAATTTCGTGCAAGCGGTTGGATATAATTTGTTACTGTCATGGTAATTATTAACCTAAATAGGTTTTTATATTTTCGTAACAAGAGCTGGAAACCCAAACATTATTTCTTGAAAAATGTTATTTTACTTACTCGATTTGCTGGGTGATTGTTACCAGAGAGAAACTAACGCTCATCAAATCAGTTGTAATCGGAAACACTTAAATCAGACAGAGAAACTCGCAATTATGATCAAAACATTCAAAAATTCCATGTGACCATATAATAAGCAAATGCCGGCATGTATCTCACGGTGTTCGGCATTTCCTCCAGCTTTTAAAGCCATTATAGCACTTACGAATTTGAAGATGTTTACCTACCAACACTGCTAAGATGATACATCCTGAAGGAAATCAACTCAAATCGAATAATACAACTGCAATGTTATGATGACAATTATAAGATGGGGTTCATTATCGTAGTTTCCAAAACGAATCACGACTCGGCGTACAAGCAGCGACCCCCCTAACAACAGAATATAAAAGTATATAACATGACCGTAAAAGCTTATGTGATATATACATCAAGTTATCATTATTGTTATTACTACGCCACGCAGATTGCTTAGAGCAAAGAGTATGCGCTCAGAGAAATATTGTTCTAAATGGGAACGAATTCAGTAATATCCTGTAAAAAATATACATTCAAAAATAAAGATATTTTCTAAATGAATGCCTTTGCTAGGATCCTCCAGAGGACTTTTTCCGGCCTTGATTCGAATTCGTGGTCTGTGTTACAGTTCCAGATCCTGTTGACGCTTGCGTTGTGGTCATTGTTGACTGCACAGACTGCAATTGCTGGTGTACACTATGGCCGCCACTCTGGCTGGATCGCCCCGTTGGAGGGAGAGTCAATGTATCCACGTGCAGTTTTAGCTCATGTGATATTAGTGCATTCTGCCGCTCAGCCGAAAATGAGCAATAACGACATTTAAATTGGGCCCCTTTAAAATGATGGGTTTCGTGCATCTTTACGTTGGATAGATTATTACTCTTGTATGGACAATGATTACACATCCAGTCACCTGAAATGCGCAATGTGCTTTTATGGTGAATTCGGCGGTGTAATTTATGAGGATCTTTCATATATGTTCTTGATTGATGCTGAAACCTAGAAGCGTTCACATTTTGTGTATTTATCCTGATATTGAATGAAAATATTACCAAGATATACGTTTTCAAGCTGTTATAGAAATGAATGTCTATTCGTAGGCATTATAGAGACTAAGTAACTCCTTGAAAGGGTTTTCGAAACGATTCATACAACAGTTTGAATCCAAAAGTCAGCACACAGGTCTAAATTACTATTATTACCATCCAAAACTGTGCTTGCATATGGAGAGTTTTTTCTCCATCGATGTCGACCTCTTCAGGGAGCACAAAATCGCTTGTAACCAGATCATTAGTGATTACAGGAACTATGCCAGAACCTCGTGTAGCCATTAGGCATTCTTAAAGCTCCGATAAATTTGAAAATAACCTGGTCAGCGCTATAATTTTGTTTAAGAAATATATTTAACAGAATCCTCGAGAGAACATTGTTTCGAAAGGCGGTATGCTCAAAATCGTGATTCCTTACATGTATTTTGATTGCCGTGATTTGCTATGCTTAACTAGTTTGCGATGGGCATTTAAAATTATGGTTCTGGAACCCTTCTTACGTTTAAACCAATAATCTACCCATAAATATCTAATAATGACATATGTATTTTATGCAAAATCAATAGGCTCACGGGTAGAACAAGATTCATCCTTTACATCCCAAAGTTGTTTGTTCCCCATTTCACCATCGGGTGCCAATTACTCTGCTCAACTATCATACCTACTCACACATATTTTCCTCTAGAACTGCGGTCGTCCTTTTGTAAGCTGCACAGATCATAACTAATTGATATTCCCATCAATGCTTAAGTGTTGCTCAACGTTACCCGGTCGATATTACTAATCCTAAATGCAACGTTTGATGTTTTGATACGATATGCAAAGTTACGAAATCTATAATTGCTGAGAATAATTTGTTTAATCGAATGTTTTGTTTCTTCCTTGAAATACTTGTTGTAGGCGCTCTTCTTAATATCCATTACGCGTCTTGAGTGAAAATAAAGCCAGTTCGCCAATTGCCAACCAAAAAGGCCAATGTACTATTAGCTACGAAAGCATTTTCCATCGCACCAATGCGGTATCATAGGTGAATCTAGCAATAGATGGTATTTATTCAATAAGTGCTGTGGTTGTTTTGTAACAGAAAAATTTACTGGACGTCGTCGTGTAAACTCTAAGCTCTAAGCCTATGTCAATAATATCTCGAAGCAATGCATTTTCTCTTCGGGGCGATGTTTACTTAAGAATTTGTTATACACAACGTCTGAAACAAAATACAGCGTATCGTAAATTAAAACACGTTTTCGTCTTTATATGAGAATAAATTTAAGTACGGTATTCCATACAATGGCGACGGGCGATAGGTAAGAAAAACTAATTTTTAAATTGATCTCAAAACACTCATTGACTCTCTTTTTGTTTTCAGAATGATTGGTCTACCTTCCAATTTGGCCCGTGCAATACTTGTTTTGATTTTTTTTTCGATCTTAATTGGCCATTGCCATAAAAAAATAAAACTTGTAGTTACTAGGCTGTGAATAAGCTAACTGAAACCGGCTTAATAGCGACTTGATCGTAAAGTTTGTACTAATAATGAATGATTCTATATACATAGAATAAAACAAATTAAAGGGATACAATACAAGATGCAGCATTTCACCGCATGACACGATCTTAAGAGACTAAAACAGATTAAGTATCGCTAAGATCTTTAAGTGAGCAGATGTTAGTTGTCGTTACACTACCAAAGTAAACAAAGATTCAGTATTTGTTAGAACACTGTGGATTACAAACCATGCTCTAAGCGATCGTATTAAGTTGGATTTATTTTCTATACAGCAGCGGCTTGCTTCATAGTTTGTCTTATTTGCAAGTTGACAGCCTCTGGGTCGGAAGCAGGTTCGTCTTCTTCTAAAAGTCACAGCTTAAACTTACGTGTTTCCTATATATGTCAATATGTTACAAGGAACGTTATCAGCTCGCAAATCTTTGAATAAAACTTGTGAATAAAATCCTTGTCGAAAAATAATTTTAACATATACGGTTGAAGCAGGATGTTTGGGTAGCTATATGGACGCTCTGCTAGTTTACCCGGTCACTGAAACTGTTGTGATATGGATGCGTGTAATCGCGCCAAAAATACAAAGAAAAGGCGATTACTTTATACGTCCGTTTCATAGTTGTAGTAAAGAGATGTAAGTACTGAGAGTCAATATTTAATGTAATCTAGCAGTGATTAAAACATCTGTTTATGAATTTAGAGTTAGCATGAAGATCCCTATTTTTTTTGCCCGCGCAAGATTTCTCAAGATCACCGGCTCAGCAGGAGGCCTGTTTTCGTTGGTGTAATGGGGTCTTATTTCCAGAATATTCACTAAGAATGCAGTCAAAAGAAGCAGCACAAAGCTCAATCGCATAATCAGTCAGGGAAAAATAGTGTACGTTTGAGGAAACGCTTTAGAGGAAGTTAATCAATAGGCCAAGTTTTCCCCTTCAGTATCCTGTCGAAAACCAGGAGCACAAAGGTAGACATAGTAGCCATTATCAAGTGACCCCATTTTGCTTACCCACCTTGCGTAGATTTCTTTCGAAGTACTTGTGCCTGTTCCGGTGACCTTAGTTCTACTGTAAGAGTCTTTTGAAGCCTCAGCAACGTTTCGCGAATCAGGTCTAAAAATAGGAGATCCAATTGGCATACAAAAAAAAATGTTCACTTTAATAAAGACACATTAATAGTGAAAGCGATTTCACTATATAACTAAGTAAAAATCCTTGCATGTGCTCTGTGTACGGTAGTAGAGTGAACAGCTGAAAGTATTTGTAGGAGTTGTAAATTAAAAAAAACGTGCATACACGTTACGCCAAAAGTAAGGCAAGCCAAAAGAAAGCTATGTAGTGACTGCTTGCTTTAATACATCACGCAGCTCTCAAGTCATTTTCGGAATCGAATGATTTTTACCTTTTGGAAACCTATTCTTTCACGTTTCTTATTTAATAGATCGCCTTACTTGAAACGTCTATAGCGGGTAAACCATGAAAATTTTATATTTTCCGATAGCGTAATACGCACTTTGATAGTTGTGTCTTGTACAGGTCTGTCAAGCTCAATTTAACATACTACACTCTTTGAACAGTAGAATCAAATAGTATCACATGTTGAAAATATGCATTTTGTCCACGAAGTACTAGAGAAGCCCAGAGGCAGTTAACCCAAATGTATCGATCCGCAGCTAGCTATCTACTTTTTCACGAAGAAAACTTTATTGTGTCCTAATTAAGCATAATAAACAAAATCGGATATCTTGTAAAGGGTCCCTTTTTCGTAAAGGGACCGAACTCGACAGAATAAAGCCACCTGAAAGAATACAAACGTTTTTAGAACGATATTTGCTTCATTTACCAAATTTGTGCTTCTTGTGTAAGTTCCAACAATAACTTAAATAAGACCAGATGAATTTGCAAAATTATTCCAAATCTAACAAACGTTTTTCAGAACGAAACTATCACTCGAAGACAGTTTGCGCACGTTTTTTTATCAGTGCTTAACTATTGTCATACTTTTTTCTATGGTATCAGCTGATACGCTCAACACAGAACGCATTGTGAATGACTAAGTACCGAGACCGTCTAAAATGCATCGAGTGTGTTGCTAGTTCAACAATCGTTTGTGAAGTGAACTAACCAAAGATAACAAAATTTTTATGTCCATCTCCTGTAAAACCGCAACTCAGTGTCTGGGATAAAAATACTTCAGAGATACTTCGGGCGTTACTAGTACGCGAGTGCCAATTCATTAAGTTTTAGATCTTACAAGCGACAAAATGACAACGCTATCTACCGTTCTTAACTCTATGACATCGCCTGTTAAATTCCTGACAACTTTGGCTGGACAGTACGCTAACGGCGGGCGGTCCAATTCTTTTTCAAAGTTGAACACAATTGACCTTGGGGCATTACAAGTAAGTACGTCATCCATGAGTCATTGAAGTATGCACCTTAATGAAGTTTCATAACGTATTCCATATTAGAATCAAATTCGAATAGCTCTCACAGCACGACAATTCCTTGTGTTCATTCGCACCTCAGTGCTTTCCATACTGCACGCCACTTTGAGGAATAGCAGATCATTGGATTGTGCGAGTAGTCAAATTAAGTCTCTTTTTTTCAAGTTAAATGGACACTTCTGCACTTTTGATTATATAATTCGGTTACGTAACGAGGTAGCTTTTGCGAGGTAAAATTTCTAAACATAGCTACATGTGCACTGTTTCCACAGAACTCAGCTTCCACTTCAAGACCACGCAGTGCCGTATTCGTTGAATTCGATGTCTGTTTCAACAATGTTTCAGCTAAAAGGTCAGCACTGCCAGTTAGATCTTAGATATTCGGTTTTTCGATTTTCTTCGCGCCAGCTAAAGGCGGAAGATCGATGCCACCCCCGTAGCTGCTTCGTACCAACTCGGAAGTGTATGCTAAACAGAAAGAAGTTATTAGGCACAGAGTACGAGGTTCCGCCCGGTAACTTGGTGTGAGCTGTCTGCTCTGCTTCGCTTACGTAAACAATTCTGTATTCGTTAGTTAACAATGCAGCAGGACTCTTCATCTTACCGCGCTTCTCTGTTCCGTACAACCCTAGGCACTGCGGTTACTTCGCGCAATTTACTCTCCAGACTTCAGTATAATTAAGGGAAAAATGCTTTGGCGAACAAACATTGCCACGGCAAGCTAATTGTGCCCGTAGCCTGACAAGCGAGTCGAAGAGACAGAAGTTCGACGTGTTCGAGCTATTCGTGCTTGTTCCATTCATGGCGATTCATCACCTCCCTGATCGAGGGAAAGCTATGCAGTTGTTGCTCGAACATCGATCATCGGCCTGAATAGGATGTTTGCCGGTCCTCTGTAAATGAAATGATTCGTAGAAAAGGTTTGTGCCGTGCGAGCGGTAACGTCTCCATTCGCATTACTCGCTTCGAGACTCCCGTCTTTAGCTGAGCTGACGAGTAATCGTAGGTTCTACTTTAGCCATTCCTTCTTGCATCAGTTCAACATCAACCACCGTAACAGCGGCAATAACAGCAACGGGCGAACCGACGTCCACGTACCCTAGTGGCACAACTCAGCACGCGCAATTCTTATCGAGGCTAGCGCTGGAGTATAGAGTGCCGGTGGTGACGGCGGCGGAGATGGAACGCGATAAGGAGTTAGCGGCAGCTGCGGCAATGATCGTCGTTGCAGCGTCTCGCTCGGATTCCGCTAGTCTCGATGCGACGGGTCGGACATCTCTGTGAGCTCGTTTAATTTTGCTGCTGCCGCTGCTGCTGCTGCTGCTACTGTTGATGCTGTGGAAAGCATAGTTGGTCTCATGTCAGTCTCCAATGTGTTGTAAGTCGTGTGAATGCGCGGTCGGTTCTTAGTTAAGTCATTGTTCACTTAATAGAAAGCACGCGGTGTCGCCCGTTCTGTGCGATTCTTTATGCGCTGCAAAGCAGTGTCCTTTTACGACATACGGATGGTGGAGGCGCGTTAAACCATGAGCTAGGCAGAGCAAGCCAAAATTTGTTCCATCGAGATGTTAATACATGTTTCCGTCCTGTGTTTGCGCCCCCCCGCCCCCTCTTTCACTCTCGGCACTCTAGCGAGACGCTCGTTTGATCAGTAGCGCTTTTTTTCTGTTATCGTTATCGTGCCATTATCAATAATTGTGATAGCAAGTGACCGATATCGTTCCATAGAGACTTCCCTCTAACAGTCACACACACACATGGATAGCGGGCACGAATCGCTGACATATCTAGCTTTCGCCTGCTCTCCGCATATTTCACTGGTATACCTCGCAGGCGGTCCTATCAGTAGCCCATGGTTATCGTCAGCCTGATTATCAATACGATCTGTCCTCTTAATACTCATCCGCTATCACTGCCGAAGCCACGATTACCCACCAGTCCCACAACGACAACGGCGACATGAGAGCTGCTTACTCAAAGCGATGATGACGATGAGCAAGTAAAGTGTCAATGGTAATGACATCTAGTCACCCGCCGCGTCGAGTCCGCGTCCTGAAAGAGCGTCGCCGGCAGAGTGTCTAGCGAGTTTGATTGCTGACTCGTACCCCGCTCGGCCGGTTCCGACGTATGCGTAAGATTTGCAAACGCGCGCCAGCTGTGAGCCATTTTGATATCGTTTTTCAAAAAAAGGAAAACCAAAAATGCTAAGCAGCTTCATCCACCATTTAGCCGTATGACGGTCGAAAGGCATCAGCAACAGACTACCCTCCGCTGAACGAAGTTGGCGGACGATGACCATGAGGCAATATTACGACAGCTGTCCGATGTTATCCTCACTTTTCTTCACTTGCTTTCTCCATTTTGCGGAAAAAGGTGGGATTTCCTAAAGTGAATGGACTCGACTCTATTGGGAATCGTTTTGCCGTCAAGAGCTTTGCGCTTTGCACTTCGCGCACTAGTGGGGTACAAATCGTAAATAGAAGTCCATATGCTTCCATACACAGACTCATGCGCTCATTCTTACACACGCACGCACGCACGCACGCACGCACGCACGCAGACGAATCGAGGCACGTTGAAACGCATCCGGTTTTTATAACATCTTCGATCTGCTGTTTATCGTTGTCCCTGCCCTCTTCCTTTTCCTTTCATCTCCTTTTCTTTCGCGCACCGCTGAATGTCGCTGCCGTTCGGATATAGCTGAAGTTTGATTTGGGATGCGATTCAAATGTTCAAAACGGTCTGAAAAATGATGGGGCAATACCTCCTATTAAACGAGAAATTACAGAATGCAGTAGATGGGTTTGGAAACTGGGCTTGTATTATGCCTGGACGTTATAGGAAAGTATATTGCCTGTGTTCAGTGTCTGTCTTCATGAACATGGGTAGTAATAATAGGTAAAATTCTCTAAAACGAATGATATGAGCTCTTGTAAATAATCAAATTGGTTATTTTCTATCGTACAGTATGTATGTGTGAACTAACTAGATGGCTGTACTAGTTTTGCGTCGTCAATTACACTCTCTTTAGTAAAACGTGAACATAGCGTTTGAGCTCTATACAACATAGAGCTCCTTGAAATCATAAAAAAGTTAGCAGCATTTCCAAAAACCTACAGTTGGGCACTTGGGGGCATTCGTGCTTCGGCATAATAAAACAAACATTTGCAAGATATTTGCTTTGATTATTTCTACTGACTTCAATAAGTTAAATTATCTTAGTAAGATTAAATGATTTTAAAAAGATATTTAGGGCTAATCTTAATTCACAAGACGACTCAATATGCCTCGACATACTCGATCAGTATCAGCGAAGTAAACACGCGTCTGCAGCATGCGGACGGACCTCGGCCATTATAAAAGTCCTATATTTTCTTATTTTCGGTTATATAATCAAGTTCTCAATATAATCTACTTCAAATTTTAAATTCCAACGAAATGTAGCACCCTGTACAAGTTGCTTCTTAAACAGTAGATTTTGTTGAGGCTTATTATAGAATAGCTCTCATCATTATGGAGGAATAGTTAGCGTTTTTTTTTTTGGTGACTTAATGCGCATTTATGCCAATTAAGTCAAGGAAACGGTTTCGCAAACCTAAACGTATTAGCGGTAAATTATAGCGGTAGTTGATATGTTTATATGCGGTAGATGACTTGTTTGATGTCCTTACGATCGGGATCGTCAATATATATATATATATATATATATCTGTTCGATCGGATCGACCAAATTGAGACAGAAAATATACGCAGGTAACACCTTGTTCGGAGGTGGTGGTTACATCAAAACGTGGTAAACTTTCATGCTTGCCAAACCGTTTTCTGTTTAAGGCCAGACAGAATATTAATCTAAATCAATGGAACGCCCTTGCAGGGCATCTTAGATTTGTTGTACGTAACCATTTTTTCGCTTTCGGAGAAACATCATTAGCATGTAATGTGAAAAGTTTGTAATGTAATGTAAAGTAAAAGAGAATGTTTCACAGGAAACTGTTGTATCTAGTAATCATTCAATGCATCGCGGTTAAAACAGATCTGTGATTGTACGTCCCAGTTTGACAAATTTACGTTCTCTTTAAGTTGAGTAAAAAACTAAACTAAGTGTCCATGTTAACTTGATAATATATACGATGCGCTTATCTATAAGACATATTGAAAATAAAGCGTTTTTAGCCCTATTAGCAACGTAAGACGTTCGTTCACATGGTACCGAGGCACGTACCGAGGAAAATCCACAATATTTGCGAAAACAGGTATCATTTGGCTGCATAGCCAACGACCCTGTGACGATTTGCTCTAGGCACATCTTTCCACTCATGAAAAAACCCGAGAACTTAACATCTCTTCTTAAGATCTAACGAACTGTTATCTGGGTGTCTTATACAGCGCGTGAATGAATAACGGACTAAAAATAGTTTTCATCATTTGTTATGGGATCGTTACTGCAGTTAAATACAAAAATTACAAACCGCAAAGCGATAAGCACGAAGTAAAGTTGCAAGAACGAAGCGGGTTAACTTCGATGTTGCTTAAAATAGTGCTTTTGGACAAAGCGTGCTATTATTTCAAAGGACAAAGGCCCGCCCCGAACAGCGTGTAGGAGGCTGACAATAATTCATGTGTGTTTTAGCATTTGTGTTACGACTAAACGAGTTTAATGGAAGCTAGCCTTTGCTCTTTAGTACTTAGTATAAGATGATCTGATTGCCGTGTAGTATCTCTTTGAAGTCTCGTGCTGGTCAAGTTTGCAAAACAGACTCCCAAGGACGCGGCTAATGTCTAAATGTACTCTTGAGATGAAAATCTAAATGCTTACAGAACGAAGTGGTGCCAAGAACAGTAGATTAATTTTGGCAGAAAGTCACTTTATTTCATGAGATGTTGCAATCTGTATCTCGACAACTTAGATACCTCATCTAAACATAGTTTTACCGACGTATAACTGAGGTCGTTAATTCAAGCAGCCCTCTAAGATTGTCGATTTTACCGAATTTTTTTTGCTTTGTCGTGTTCGTCTTTGTTTTTTTTTTTATCTATTCACACAACACGGGTTAGAGGGGGCGCTCGTTGTACCCTTTACACTGAAAACAGATACGGCAAATATGAACAAACAAAAAAAGTTACTACAATAACTTGGCCCGTCGAAGGCCAGGTTCCGCACTTCCTTTAGGTTTGCTTTATTTTCATCCTCAATAGGTGGTAGCTGCCAGCGATGCAAACCTATGGGGAGACACAAAGTATCTTACATAAAGAAGTGCTAAGAAGTTTCGTAGCGACAGCTAAACATATACATTTCAATGAATTTGGGCCTAAGGTAATACAGAGATGCAGACTGTATGAGGTAATTCAAAGTTGAACTCCTTTTTGACAGGCAAGTGGCCAACGGTCACCCGAGGTGGATATCTTAAAAAACCAAAAGGGAAACCTCTTCAATGTATATCAGGGAATACGATCACGAGCACTGATACGCTTCATTTGTCCCTTTACTTATTCAAACATTAGAAAGATTTTTGCGAATGTTCACGTTCACGAATATACAATTGAGGTCCGATAGCTGATAATATTCATGTATTCTACTATTCGATAGATCATATCGTTGTGTTTAATGTGCGATTCTGAGTCAAACAAGATATCTCATAATGCCACACTTGCACCCCATTCAACCGGCTGGTCACGTCCTTCTCAAAAACTTCTAAAGTTCCATAGCCAACAACCCTCCCACAAGTCAGTCGACTGTGCCCGGTTTTCATGCATCAATTTTGCAATGAAGATATATTTCACATTGTCAAGCAACTATCGACCGCGTACTTTGATCAACTGATTGACTGTCAGCTAATAGAAATCATTACTCGTATTTTTTCCGACCCTTTTATTTCGACTTGAATCGTTCATGTCACGTACCTCGGCTGTAGGCCGTCTATTTGAATTTCCGTAACTAGTTAGCTAATCTCATAGTCTGGGGGATCCTCTGGGCACAGTATCAGATCCAGAGGGAGAATTGATCGCATCAGACAAACGGAGGTGTTTCCACTGTCAAACCGTTGACTCAGAAAAGTACATTCGAATAAAGTGGATTTGTATTACTCTCTCATTGAACCAAACGGCATCGTATGCCGTCGAGTAACGTTAACTGCCCCACGTAGATCGCGTTCAACAAAAAGATCACGACAACGGTGGCAGTGTTCATACGTCTATCATGAAGCCATGGCGCCAACTAGTGCTTGCCATGAACGCCGCGGCCTCGCGTCAGCGAAGTCTAGCCATCGCCAGTGCTACCTCTGCTGCCACAGATCGCGCAATTGAAGCTGGCGATAATACAGCCGTCGTTGTTCGATAGTACACGACGGAATAGATTGGGCCAGTTGCTGGCGCCGTTGCTGCTGCAAAACTCCTGTAGCAGACTTCAGTTACTTCGTCTTCGTTCTTAATCGCTGACTTCATGCCCGTTCTCCTCGCCATCGTCGGGGCTATGGTTGCGCACATCTCTCACAGCGCGCGCGCCGTTCAACGGTTGTCGTGAACGGCCGCCAGTTCCGTTAGGGCCACCAAAATCAACGGATAGCAGAGCCAACAGCAGCTCGCACATCAGCACACCCCTGCATGGCAATCGCCGCAGAAGCAACGACAGCTGTTGTGTATTGGTTTCCACGTGAATTTGTTTCGTTTTGTATATATATATATATATATATATATATACATATATATATATATATATATATATATATAGTTCATATGTGTTTGCTGTGCGTAAGGCTGTAGTTACTGCTGATATTTTCAAAGCAAACAGCTGACCCTAATATGTACAGGAGAAGGTACTAATGCTATTGAAATTGAGATGAAATTGAAGTGAACTGAGGGAGGCAGGCTGCATGTTTGTGGTTGCGATATTAATGGGGCTGTACAATGTTTTTCATGGCAGAATAGAAACAGGGTGATTGTGTTGGTGTGGTTATTTCTGGATATTGTCTCTATTGCTCATGCTTCCTGAAGAGAAATCGTCTGCGGTTTGATTAGGTGAATGTTTAGTGGACAATGAGCTTACGTTCTCACCGGGGTGCGTTCGAATCTCGCATTTTTCTGTAATTCTCCGTCCTTTGTTGAATAGACGAGTGGTTGAATAAGGTGAAGGAGTGTTATAAAGTGTATGGGAGTTGGGGCTCGGCCTAGAAACGGTGCAGGGGACCAAGCTGAAGTTCGAAAAGTGCAACCGCAGTTAAAACGAAATCAAATGACCTAAGTACCGGCGTCAATGGATAAGCACCAGTGAACTAAGGTGCGAAACCTGCACTGTCCTTTGGGGGCAGTCTGGATACACCCATAGCGATTTAATGGATACGGGTAGAAGTGCGACGATGAGACTCCCCCCCTATCGTGGGGCCGTGGTTCCTCTTTTTGGAAGAAAGAGGGCGCGGAAATTTATTGGATTACTTATCATCGCCTGCGCAGGGACTTCGCTGACTCAAGGTAAATGATAACGGAGCTCATGTAAACAACTGAGCCGTCACCACCCTCGACTACTCATCGTTGCCGATGACCGGATTTGCCTTGATATTGTTCTTCAAAAAATAATTGCAATCATTATGAATCGTTCGGGACCAATGCATAATATCACAGTGCGGAGTGCCGAAAGAAAGAAATGCCACGAACAATCAATAACACATAAAGTAGCACAAAAAACATGATATCTGCAGTTGAAATGTCTCTCATATTTGAAGATCTAAGAAGCCTTTTTATGTACATTTTAGGTACGCATCTGTTCTTTCAGGTACGTACGGGTCCTTTTTGATAGATTCGATTCTTTCAGTGTGTTGAAACAGTCGACATTATTGGGGCTAATTCTATAGCCTTTAACTCGGATGAGGCTGTGAATTACATCGAAAAGTTATGGAAAAAAGAAGCGGGGAATCGAAACAAACGGCATGTAGTGCATGTTTTTTTTAAGCACCGCAAGCTTTATAAAGGCTTACTAGATGGCAAATGTTCAAATGTGGACATGGAAGGATTTAGAAAATTGCACGTTGTTTTTATCCATCTACGTAAATTAGTGATATAGTTCACAGTAGAATTCATACGATACGATTTCAACTGCAGACGAACTGCATAGGCTTACCGGCGGCTTGGCACCCAGCCTGTAATGACATTCGAGACAAATATATCAATGCCGACAACATAAAAAACTAAATGAGAAATTCCATGGCTGACTGTGGAAGATTCGAAGTGCAATTATAGAATTATGTGAAAGTCGTACGAAAACGATAACGGAGGAAGGCGTCGAATTTCCTATGATTGCCGTTACCTATACGGTCGAGCTTCGACTGAGGTCGCCACCAACACGACATCCCGTCAGGTTATTTATTTGTATGTGTTTGTGAGGACCGGCGAAGCAGAGGCTGAAGGCACGCATCAGAGAAAATGAAAAGTTTTAAAAATCGTAACACTTTGCTAGGGCCCCAAACGCTTGGCCACTGCTGGCGCTCCCCCCGTAGTCTACTATGGGCAGGTGATAATAGAGAAAGCACTTTCCTCCTTCAGCGAAGCGCAGAGGCAGCAGTGATGGCGGCGGCGTCGGCGGCCGCCGCCAGCGGTGGCTTTTTGCTTTTTATAATTTTCACCATTCCATGAATCATTCCCTAACTCGTAGGCAAAGCTACGCCCTATTCTCAAGCATTCGCTGGGGTCTGTTTTGCGTAATGCGACGTCGGTTGCCCAGCGGCTTGCCAGTGTCCCGGGGAAAAGTTGCTCCGCAGACGAAGTCGCTTTCCAAAGTGATGTGATCATCATCATCCATACTTCTCTAGGCGTGAAATGTAGCTTCGTTCACGTATGCTTTAAAAGATCTACCGAACTGTACCACTACCCTATGAATCAAGCTTTCACTTGCACGCAAGCAATCGAACAGGGCGCCATCTGCTCGGAAATAACAAAGCTAACAAACACATTGAGTAATTCTAGAATGGCTTCTTGCAAAATAGTAGCAAAAAGATCGTAGATGATCAAAAATGAAATTAGTGAGTGTATCTCATAGAGCAAATTTTGGGTGCACTATGTACCGCCTTTTATTTAATTATACAAATTCGCTATTTATTGGATCAACCATTATCATGCACTGGCTAGGTGGTTATGTGTCGTCGTTATATTTCGTATTTCTACATAGAGGGTTAACTTTTTGGATGACCAATAAAGTGAGTGATTCTTTTTTCGCTGTACAATCTTAATTGCGGGATAATAATATATGAAATTTTGCTTAAATGTATGACCTTCAAAACACTTGACACCTATTATAGATTACGCGCATATATATACGTATGTACCATTCACTAACTAGATAAAGTAGGTAAAAATAGATAAACACTATCTAATTATCTCCTTTTTACACAGCAATAGAGTGAAGGTTTGTCATTGAGTGAGATCAACTTACGATCAGAATAGCGATAATGGGAAAGTTTCGTGTATCTTTTTGTTAGTAGCTTAATCTTAACATATCAACGCTCGTGTAACGTTTGTCATAATTTATTAATTATGGATTCAAACGATCCATAAGATTTAACTATTTACAAAAAAGACAATCTGTAGATATAATGGAATCGGATGGAAATGGAGAGTGAATCAGAAAAATTCAGGTAAGGGTTAACAACCAGACTTATCATATTTGAAAATAATTTCCTACCTGCTTACAAAACGGAACCGGTATGGTTTCTAGCCTCTAGTACTAATTACCTGCCATTCATGAAATTGTCGACGACAATGATTACAAGCAATCTTCATTTAATTCTCTACTAGTATAATAGAAATTATAGATGAAATAAATGTTTAGTGAGATAAGAAGGAAGCCCAAAGCTGCCGTAAACGTATTGCAAATTGGCAAAAAAAAAATGCTGTACCTTCTAGACCTGAAAATATTTACACGGAACCGTACCACTATTGAATAACATTGAACTAATGTTAGCGCTATAGTTAACCGCAGCGTCGGGACAGCTGTTTACTAATACCGGCTGCATGGACACCTAATCTGACCTAACAAGATTCGCTTGAAGGAAAATGTCAGGTTTGTCATGATTCTCTGTTTTTTTTTTTGCTGCTGCATGTGATTCCTTAAAGGGCAAATTACTTGCGTAGTAGAGCCCATTAGTACAATAAAATTATTAGAACATAGGTGTCTAGTATCTACAGAGAAAGCGCGCAATTTATTTTATGCTGTTCTAAAAACTGTTGATAGACTGATGGTACTTAAGCCAGAGTTCAAATGCTACGGTATGACAATGGTTTAAGAAATAAGCTACAAATCCTGTTAAAATACATTGCCCAACAAGTGATCATATCGAAAGTTTCGGTTCTAAGTGCTGTACAATATATTGATGACAAACTGTCACTTTCGGCGCAATGTAATGAAAATGCACGGTTGTAAGAGCTACTGGCCTGTAAAGAAAAACGTACTTTATATCATACAAACAGGGCTCATGGAATAAAGGTGACGACGGTTCAGCGAGGTTCGCGTTACGTGTCCGTTCACTAATGGACCTTTAATGCATAGATGCACCTTTAATAGTCAGTGCTAAGTTTTTTTGTACGCTTCTGTTATATAGCTTTGAATGTGCTGTATGCTTGTTCAGGTCGGAATAAAATAGGCTGTCCTAATTAATTACATATGTACTGGGTCATATATTCAGTACGTCAATGACGACTATGCAGGACAACCAATGACTTCGCTGCTGAAGGGAGCAAGGTCGTCTTTATTATACTCGGTAGCGGTTGCCGAGTCATTTACCCGTTCGACAATAAAGAAATTCGGGCCAAAACGTCCTTCAGAAGGGCGAGTGTATTGAACACTCTCCAATGGCAAAAAGTAGTCCAGAACGACTATGACCGTAACAAGTAACAGACTGAGATGTGGAAACATCTCAGATCTTCCTCGATTTTTACATCGCCCACGGTACCAGAACATAACAAAAGCAATATAACCATAATTCGAACAGTAGCTACAAGCTGAAATAAGCAAAAGATCATTGTCGAATACCTCAACGAGCTAGTACCTCGGAAGCGTCACAAACGAGGTCCACATACACTTCGATAATGAGAAGCCGAATTTCAAGTGGACTTAAATTCGACGTTTTTGTTGTCACCGTTGTTAGTATTGCTGATCCCAATACTACGGCAGCGGGTTTTTTTAGCGTTATTCTACCCCAGACAAACCAGAATTTCCGGCGTGCTTGTTTACCGTGATAGGGATTCAATGAAGACCCTATTTTTCCCGCTAGATCTATATTTAGACGCAAATGACAACAGACCTTCGTTAAGTGCGGACTCAACTTGGCCTTACCGTGCCTATACTGCGCTGATTATGGCTACCACAGATCCATACAGGAAAGGCTTGCACATTGTTTTGAAGTTCGTCTCGTCGATCAGGGCCTGATTATATAAAATTGTCTTTGTCTAATGTGTTGCTTGTTGACGTATATGTAGATACGTCAACACAGATACGTAACGCAGAAGCTTGAGCTTGTCTTTTTTCCTCAACGACTCCTGTGAGTCTATGCGTGCGTATTGTGCTGCCTGTCTGCCGCTCCATCGGCGAGTCAGCTACGTCGTCGTTGGCCAGTTGTATTAGTTCGCGTTGCCGTCGTCGTGATGGCTCTTTGGCGTTTCTGGCCTCCTTCTGCTGTTCTGCTTTGGGGCACTAGTGGTGCTGCCGTTAGCGTCGTCAAGATTTCTGCGTCGTCGCTTTTGGCACGTCGGCTGATGACCGAAGGGCTGGTACATATAGGAGCAGGACGGGATAAAGCGGGGCACACGTAAACTTTGTCGCTGTCCGGCAGTTCGTTTCACGAAATAGTAGCATCTTATACGCATGAACGCAACGCAGCGGTGGCGATCGCTTTAATGCCGAGAAAAATCGCATCGTCGTTGCCGTCGAAGTCGTAAGATGCCGTAGAGAAGAATGGGGGTGCTAACCGGCATTGATCCTCGGGAGACAGCGGCTCGTCGAAATTGCATCGAATGGCTTATGGTCAGGACTGTTCGGAAAATAAGGGCATCATGTTGTTTGAATTGAACCGTGTGGTATGTCTGTTTATGCGTGCGTGTGTGTATGTATGTTGTGTGCGGACACGCCATTATTTTACCAAAAAAGAAAAAGTGCTCAGAATATATGGCTATAAAAAGAATGGAACGAGATCTACTCCTAAACTAAGGGGTGATCAGATTTGGGCGGCTTTTTGATTTTTACTTTCTGAGAGTCACGGAAACTGCGGAGAACTACAAGTCAAGGTTTTTCGAATAACCCAAATGTAGATTCAATCTTTAGTTTCCTTAGATGATGGAGGGGGAACTTGAGGACTCGAGAGACACTGGCCTGGCTGCCATTGGGCTGATAACCCGCTCCGTCGTTTATGTCAGTGCTTTAATAAGATTTCGGAATCCTTAGAACAGAGTTTTGAGGTCACAGTCTATAGTAAAAGTGACTGTAG